ACAGCCAGTGGTGTCCTCTTTGATCCATTATGGTTAGGACTGAATGTGGCACATGCATAGTCAAGTGCTGCCCTAAGGTCAGTTTTTCTGCTTCCTCCACCAACATGGAAGTGGCAGCTAATGCCTTAAAGCAAGGGGGTCATCCTCATGCCACTACATCTAATTGTTTAATAAGTAGCCACTGGGTGGTGCCAAGATCCCAGGACTTCGGTTAAGACCCCAATGGCCATTACTTTCCATTCATGTATGTACAAGAAGAAAGGCTTGGTCATGTCGGGTAGTCTTAGCCCAGTTAAGCCTTGCTCAACTCATTTAAATGCCTTTTCATGTTCAATTCCCAAAGGAAAGACCCTTCCCTCCCTGCTTTTGTGGCTTGCTGTAAGTGAGATATCTGGAATCCAGATATGGCAGAACTCTGCTCCCCCTAAAAACTCTCTTATATGACACCTGCAGGTTGGGGTTGGAAGGCTGCAAACAGGGCATACCTAGACTCTGCTTCCCTTGGTTTATGCTAAATCCTAGGTACCCAACACTTCTCAGTTGGGCTTCTTTCCTGACACTTTATATCCTGCCTTCCATAACAGGTGGAGAAGACTTTGTGTCCCTTGATAACAATCTTCTAGGATTGGGACTGCTAAGAGAAAATCATCCACGTACTGCAGTAAGACACACTCTTTGTTGGGAGAAGTGTAGGCCTTAAGGTCTATTGCCAATGCTTCCCCAAAGACTGTGGGAGAGCTCTTAAACCCCTGTGGAAGTCTGGTCCAAGTGAGTTGAAAATTGCCCCATTGGAAGACAAATAATGGTTGGCTTATTGGTGCTAGACGGAGGCAGAAAGAGGAATCATTTAGATCTAGTACAGTAAACCAGGCTGTGCTTGCTGAAATAAGTTATTAGATTGTAGGGGTTTGGCACTACTGAATGAGTAGTAACTGTAGCCTCATGGACGGCTCACAAATTCCGTACTGGTCTATAGTCATATACTCCTGGCATATGAAGTTTTTCGGTTGGCTTCTGCACCAGAAGGAGCAGAGTGTTCCAGGATGACAGCCATGGCACCAGAATGCTGTGGTTCTGAAGTCATTCTATGCGTTTCAATATACCTCTGATGGCTGCATGAGGCATGGGGTACTGGCAAAGTGAAACAGGGGTGGCACCTGGTTTTAATTTTACTACAATTGGAGCATGATTTACTGCTAACCCAGGTAGGCTACTTTGAGCCCAGAACTCTGGGAATTCATCTATTAGCCTAGTCAACATAGTTTCTTCCTCAGGAGTATTGGGCAGTTTGGCACCTGCATCATTTCAGTGTACAATATCCATTCCTCAACCTGGACACGGTTATGGCTAGCACCATGGCCACAGGCTTGGTGAGATCTAAAGTTAATTTCTTTCTGGTGTAAAGGAGATCTGTGCCTACAGTTTTTGAAGCAGGTCTCTCCTAACAAAGGGACTGGGCAGTTTGGGAGGTATAAGAACTCGTGCTAGACTTCCCACCCTCCAATAGCACACTTTTTTGATCAACATCAAGACCTTTTCTCTGCCATACCGGTGGTTCCAATTAGAGTAGCATATGACTAAATTAATGTGCAATTGTGTGAGTTACTACTGAATGTTCAGAATCTACCATAAAGTTTATTTCTTGGCCCCTTACCTCTATTCTACCATAGTCTCCTGGGGGCCTAAGGAGATGGAGCCTGGTCTGTTTCAGTTCCCATGGCACTCAGTTCCTGCCAGAATGATTAGGTAGGCATCCTGATCACCTAGGGCACAGTGACTTGCTTTTTGATTCTGTATCTTCTTCTGCCTCTCATTAGTGTCTCTTGACTCCCTTTCTGGGCATTCATTTTTCTAGTATGATTTCTTCTTGCATATTGCACACTGATCTTTCTATAGCCTAGGCTGATTCTCAAAGTACTCTCAAGTTAAACCTCTCCCTCAGCCTCAACCACAGCCATGAACCTCATGGCATTTGCCCCCCTTTTCATGTGGGCTGCTGCTAGCAAATCAGCCTTTCATTTAAGCTTCCCATCCACTTCCCTTCTAGCTGTCATTTTTGCCTTCTCCTGGTTGATGGACACTTAGTGAGCTACTTGTATGAGCTGAGTGGTAGTCATACCTGCAAACCCTTCCAATTTCCAAAGCTTCTCCTAATATCACTCTGAACCTGACTAACAAAGGCTGCATTCACCAGGCAATGATTTCTTGCTGCCTCTGGATCAAACGAAGTGTAGAGTCAATATGCCTCACAAAGCCTCTCATAAAACTCACTTAGGCTCTTATCTGCGCTTTGGCAGATCTCCGAGATTTTCCCACATTCAGGGCCTTTTTCCCTCTTGCCTTTATTCCATTTAGAAGTGCCTCCCAAAATGCTTGTGGGTATTGCAACACTTCTGGCCTTGTTCAGATCCCACTGGGGATCTGTCACTGGTAATATTCCTCAGCATATCAGCTGGGGCATCAACTCTGCTTGTTGGGGCATTTCTCTCCAGATACTGGAGGGTTGCTGGGTTACTCTGTGTCACTCTTCTGTGTTACACAGCAGTAAAAGAAGCTCCTGGCAGTCTGCCCATGTGGGGTTGTCCATAAGAAAATGGACTGCAGGCCAGGCACAGTGGCTCACGCCTGTAATCCCAGCACTTTGGGAAGCCAAGGTGGAGGATCACTTGAGCCCAGGGGTTCAAGACCAGCCTGGCTAACATGGGAAAACCCATCTCTGCTAAAAATGCAAAAAATGAGCTAGGGTGTGGTGGTGCAGGCCTGTAATCCCAGATACTCAGGAATCTGAGGCAGGAGAATCACTTGAACCAAGGCGGTGGAGGTTGCAGTGAGCTGAGATCATGCCATTGTACTCCAGCCTGGGTGACAGAGTGAGATTCTGTCTCAGGGAAAAAACAAAAAGGAGAAAAAAGTGCAGAATCCTGAGGGGAACATGTCACAGTGTTCAGGCTCCAGGCAGAAAGCTGTGAAGCCCCCCATTCCTGACCAAGGGATTCCTGGTGCCAGTGAGGGCTGAGCCAACCGGGACAGGCACAGATGTGCCCCTTCAGGGGCTATATCCCTCCAGACCAACCTCCTGAGTGCTGCCCTCATGGGTCTCAGTCTCTTCCAAAGCTTGCTCCCCAGGAGGCAATGAAAGCACCTCCTCCTGGCATTTAGGAACCCTGGGAATCCAGCCCCACTTCTCCTTCCAGCCTGTGCCTGCTGCCTCCATCTAAATGTAGAAAGATCTACCTTTCCTGGTGGCCATGCCCTCTGTGGGGTGGCTATCATCCATGCAGGGCTATTCCTGGGGAGCCCTTCCCTTCCCCACCTCCAGTGCACCTACAGGGCCCCTACTGTTAATAGCAGCACCTGTGACTGGGGCCCCTGAGAGGCTGGGGTGGGAGAGAGGCAGTCCAGCAGGCAGAAATCCACATCCCCAGATGGTGGCCAGTGTGTGCAAGGTGTCAGTATGTGCGTGAACGCGCGTGTGTGTGGCGGGGGGTGGTAGAGGTTTCTGCACCGTGGCAGAAGGAAAGCAGAAGCAGTTCTGGGATCTAGGGCAAAAGAGGCTCCTCTGTGTCTGGGGCTCAGGGATGCTCCCCAGAGTGCAAGATATCTCAGCTGGGACTGAAGAGACCGGAGGGCACCCAGTGCAGGAGAGTAAGTGGGGGACTCCAGGCAGTGGGGACTGTGTGTAGGAAACATGATGTCCTGACCCACATGGGCACACAGGGTGGTCTGTAAGGCAGGGCCCAGGCGAGCCCTAGTGGACAAGGAGGAGGGCTTCTCCTTGAAGGTCTCAGGGCCAGCAGGTGGGTGGTGGAAGCAAGAGGTGGCTTTTCCTTGGATCCCTCTGGGAGCCTGAAAGGAGGGGCGTGGGTGGGGGAGGATGAAGGCACCGAGGCTGGCGAGGAGGCGAAGTTCAGTTGAGCCCACTCCCAGGTCAGGAGCAGAGTCAGGGTCTGAGGGCTGTGGTCCAGTGAGGGGCTCAGAACTATTCCACAGCCCCGGCCCTGAAATACAGGCTCGGCCTCTGTCCTGGGACTCGAGAGCTCCCAACCTGGCCCCTGTCACTCGTTCAGACTAGCGCATCCCTCCAGAGAGCCACCCTCGGTCATCCCGGGCCTTCGCAGAGGCTACCCTCCTGCCCTTGGCCCTACTCACTTAGGTGACCCCTCCTTACACTGCAGTGTCCTGACCCGCGGGATGAGCATCAGAGACCCTAGGGAGGGAGTGGGGATTAAGAGAGAGACAGGAGACGCGAAGAATGGAGACAAGTCAAAGATCTGATCAAGTCTCATTTATTAGGTACAAAGCAGCTGCTTGTAAGCAAGCAAAGGCGGGAAGCTCTGAGTTCTGACATCAGAAAGTAATCATGGAGATGAGGCTGCAGGCTGGCCTCGTGACTAAGAAGAATGTGAAACTAAGATAAGGAAAGCAGAAGCTTGAGCAACAATATCGCAAGACGGCTATCATGACGCTCAAGATGGCCACCGCTCCCTACACTGCAGGGCTCAGCACACTGGCCTCCAGAAAGCCCCACTTCCTCCCTCACCAGCGCCAACTCTTCTCTACCCCCACCTGGCCCCTGCTTTGCTCTGAGCTCATGAAAAGCCTTTGTGTCATAACAGACAGGCCTATATAAGGCCCTGGCTGGGTCATGGTTTTGGTCGGATATATCCCTGGAAGCTTCTTTGGTGACCTGTGGACTCAGACCAGTTTAGCGATTGCGAGTTGTGCTCTGTGTGTGTGTGTGTGTGTGTGTGTGCGTGTGTATCTGTGTGTTTCTGTGTTTGGAGAGGGTTGGGGGTGGGGGTGTTTGGGGTGGGGGAGAGTCAGTGTGAGGGGCGTTGGTGTGTTTTTCTAGTTAGCATTGTTAGCGTAGATAGTATAGTCAGTATCGTTGCTTAGTATTTTAGCGTACTTTGGTATAGTCAGTATTGTTGCTTAATATTTTAGCATATTCAGTAAAGTTAGAGTAGTTGTATAGCTGGTGTAGAGAGATACCAGGCACCATGAAGCAGGGATTGGCCTCCACCTCACCTGCCCTGGGGCCACCGTATTATAAAATGCTGGACTTCATTGACCGTGGTGCCTTTGGTGAGGTCACGCTGGCACAGCACTTGCTTACTAGGACCAAGGTGGCCGTGAAAACCACCAAAAACACTAGCTCCTACTTCATGATTAGGAGTAAAATGCAGAAAGAAATAAGCATTTTAAAATCGGTGCACCACCACAATATAATTAAACTATATAAAGTTATTAACACCAAAAAGTGTGCCACTTGATAATAATGGAGTACGCATCAGGAGGAAGCCTGTCCGGACTGGATTCAACACAACATCGTGATGGAGGAGGAGGCCCGAGCCATGTTCCAGCAGATGCTCTCAGCCGTGCAGTACTGCCACAGAAAAAGAATAGCTCACAGAAACCTGAAGCCGGACAACATCCTCTTAGACGGTAAAGGAAACATAAAAATTGCCGACTTTGGCTCAGCAACAACTTACTATGAGGGGCAGAGGCTGACAGTATGTTGTGGCACCCTCCCCTACATGGCCCCAGAAGTCTTCCGGGTCAATGGCTAAATGCCTCCCCATGGACCTGGGCATAGGCGTCACTTTGTTCGAGATGGTGTCTGCGACTCTGCCCTTCTTCTCAGAGAGTGCTATGCAACTGAAATCCCTAATTAGACCTGGAAAGTACGTTTGCCCGGCCTTCTTTTCAGAAGGCCTTAAAAGGCTAATGAAAAAACTGTTAACGTCAGACCCCAAAAAGCGACCCACAGTTGAAGAAATTATGAGGGACTCTTGGGTGAACAATGGCCAGGAGTTGCCGCCAAAAACGTATGAAGAGTAAATCCTGGGCCACCCAAACGCTGAAACCATCCAGCTTTTTGTGGCCATGGGGTGCCAGGCTGAGAATGTCACCAAGGCAGTTAAAGAAAACTTATTCGATTATAACACCGTATTATGAAATGCTGAACTTCATTGACCGTGGTGCCTTTGGTGAGGTCACGCTGGCACAGCACTTGCTTACTAGGACCAAGGTGGCCGTGAAAACCACCAAAAACACTAGCTCCTACTTCATGATTAGGAGTAAAATGCAGAAAGAAATAAGCATTTTAAAACCGGTGCACTACCCCAACATAATTAAACTGTATAAAGTTATTAACACCAAAAAGTGTGCCACTTGATAATGGAGTACGCATCAGGAGGAAGCCTGTCTGACTGGATTCAACACAACATCGTGATGGAGGAGGAGGCCTGAGGTGTGTTTTTCTAGTTAGCATTGTTAGCGTAGATAGTATAGTCAGTATCGTTGCTTAGTATTTTAGCATAGTCAGTAGAGTTAGTTACTTGTATAGCTGGTGTAGAGAGATACCATGAAGCAGGGATTGGCCTCCACCTCACCTGCCCTGGGGCCACCGTATTATGAAATGCTGGACTTCATTGACCGTGGTGCCTTCGGTGAGGTCACGCTGGCACAGCACTTGCTTACTAGGACCAAGGTGGCCGTGAAAACCACCAAAAACACTAGCTCCTATGTCATGATTAGGAGTAAAATGCAGAAAGAAATAAGCATTTTAAAATCGGTGCACTACCCCAATATAATTAAACTATATGAAGTTATTACACCAAAAAGTGTGCCCCTTGATAATAATGGAGTACGCATCAGGAGGAAGCCTGTCCGGCTGGATTCAACACAACATCGTGATGGAGGAGGAGGCCCGAGCCATGTTCCAGCAGATGCTCTCAGCCGTGCAGTACTGCCACAGAGAAAGAATAGCTCACAGAAACCTGAAACCGGACAACATCCTCTTGGACAGTGAAAGAAATATAAAAATTGCAGACTTTGACTCAGCAACAACTTACTATGAGGGGCAGAGGCTGACAGTATGTTGTGGCACCCTCCCCTATATGGCCCCAGAAGTCTTCCGGGTCAATGGCTAAATGCGCTATGGATATTTGGAGTTTAGGCGTCACTTTGTTCGAGATGGTGTCTGCGACTCTGCCCTTCTTCTCAGAGAGTGCTGAGCCACTCAAATCCATAATTAGATATGGAAAGTATGTTAGCCCTGACTACTTTTCAGAAGGCCTTAAAAGGCTAATGAAAAAACTGTTAATGTCAGACCCCAAAAAGCGACCCACAGTAGAAGAAATTATGAGGGACCCGTGGGTGAACAATGGCCAGGAGTTGCCGCCGAAAACATATGAAGAGTAAATCCTGGGCCACCCAAACGCTGAAACCATCCAGCTTTTTGTGGCCATGGGGTGCCAGGCTGAGAATGTCACCAAGGCAGTTAAAGAAAACTTATTCGATTATAACACCGTATTATGAAATGCTGAACTTCATTGACCGTGGTGCCTTTGGTGAGGTCACGCTGGCACAGCACTTGCTTACTAGGACCAAGGTGGCCGTGAAAACCACCAAAAACACTAGCTCCTACTTCATGATTAGGGGTAAAATGCAGAGAGAAATAAGCATTTTAAAATCGGTGCACCACCACAATATAATTAAACTATATAAAGTTATTAACACCAAAAAGTGTGCCACTTGATAATAATGGAGTACGCATCAGGAGGAAGGCCTGTCCGGCTGGATTCAACACAATATCGTGATGGAGGAGGAGGCCCGAGCCATGTTCCAGCAGATGCTCTCAGCCGTGCAGTACTGCCACAGAAAAAGAATAACTCACAGAAACCTGAAACCGGACAACATCCTCTTGGACAGTGAAAGAAATATAAAAATTGCAGACTTTGACTCAGCAACAACTTACTATGAGGGGCAGAGGCTGACAGTATGTTGTGGCACCCTCCCCTACATGGCCCCAGAAGTCTTCCGGGTCAATGGCTACCAATGTCCCACCCTGGATGTTTGGAGCCTAGGCGTCACTTTGTTCGAGATGGGGTCTGCGACTCTGCCCTTCTTCTCAGAGAGTGCTGAGCCACTCAAATCCATAATTAGATATGGAAAGTATGTTAGCCCTGACTACTTTTCAGAAGGCCTTAAAAGGCTAATGAAAAAACTGTTAACGTCAGACCCCAAAAAGCGACCCACAGTAGAAGAAATTATGAGGGACTCTTGGGTGAACAATGGCCAGGAGTTGCCGCCGAAAACATATGAAGAGTAAATCCTGGGCCACCCAAACGCTGAAACCATCCAGCTTTTTGTGGCCATGGGGTGCCAGGCTGAGAATGTCACCAAGGCAGTTAAAGAAAACTTATTCGATTATAACATGGCCACCTACCTTATTTTAGATGGAAAAAAGCAATCGACTAACACACTACAGTCCCTTGCTCCTGGGGATCCCACCTGTTCCCTATCAACTCAAGTTTCCAGTTCACATGGTGGCCTGCAGAAGAAGCCAGAGAGTTTTAATCCAGACCCCCAGCATGCCCCCATGGCCTCCCCGACCAACAAGAGCTCCATCAGCAATTGTGGACATTTAGAAACCCTGGCTGAGCAAGCCCCTCGGAGTGACAGCGTGGCCTCCTCCATTGTGAGCTCCTTAGAAACCTTGGCTGAGCAAGTGAGCCAAGAACACTCCTACCTCTTGCCCTCGCCCAGGTCCAGGCCACCCCATGGGGGCCAACGGGCCTGAGCCCCTTCGAATTGCTGTATGGCCGGCCTTTCCTGGTTCCTGTAATCTCCCTGCATGACCGCCTCCACTGGCCTCCTACCTCCCGTTTCTCTCTCTCCTTCACCAGGTACTCAGTGAGCACGCCAACTGCACTCTCCCTGTCATTCCAGGACCAGAGGACCTCCACCCGGCAGCACCTCTCCAGCCGGGTGACAGCGTTCTCCTCCAAGAGCTCAAACCATCAATCCTGGACTGAGGGCCCCACCACCAGGACTCATAATCTTACACAGGCAAACTGCCAAACAGTTAGCTTTTCAGTCTACTGTCTCCATCCTCATCCCACATCGTATAAAAGCACCATACTCGGTTGCAACCATGAGTTTCATTTTCGGCACGGGCTGTGTTTTCTATATGACCAAACCAAGGACTACTGTCATTGGTGGAACACCACCTATGGGGGGTGCCCATACAGCTCTTGTGTTATTCACAAGCCACAGCCTCCAAGCTGTCCCAACCACATGCTCGCTCACTTCAGCAATGGTTCCTTAGCACTCAACATCCGTGACCCCGGCACAGCCGTTAGGATACAGGAGTGTCTGGTAAAGTCTGTGAAGATTATACCTCGAGCCACCCTCAGGGAACATGGCTAATATTTCGGTCCTATACCCGCATTGTCTCTAAAGCAATAGAACAGCTCAGTTCTGTAAGCCATACAATCCTGTAAAATGAAGCCATCCTAACTAACCAATTCAAACCCTCAGATAACACCTCTCAGTCTTTCTCTTGGTTGACTCTAGTACAGCAGGGAGCCAACATGTTAAATTTAACTAAAGATATGAATATCACCAACTGCTTTTTATGTGCCTCTTTCAGCAACCCCCCCTTAGCTGCAGTTCCCCTCAGGTCCGGGTTCAATCTGTCACAATCACCTACGGGACCCGGCACCATCTTAACAGATATCCCCTTGTTCCAAGTACACCCTCAAAATTTCTCTCTCTGCCATGAGACAGCCAGCAGCTCCAGTCCCAGCTATAACACCACAGTAAAGGTAAAATCCTCCCTCTACGCACCACCAAGAGGATATTTCTGGTGTAATGGAACCTTATCTAAAATTATTAATGCCTCCTTCGCCTTTCCCTTGCGTGCCTGTCACCTTGGTCCTGCAGTTAGAGGTATATGGACAGGCCGAACTTCTATCCCTCCTTCCACCCTCCCCTAATCACCGAGACAGATGAGCAGTCTTCCTCCCACAGGTCGTTGGTCTCTCTCTAGCATCCTCTCTGGTGGCAGCCGAGCTGGGTAATGGCACCCTAGGCTACAGTGTCACCTCAGCCACTTAACTAGAGGATAAGCTTCGCGTGGCTATCAAAGCATCGGCCGCCTCCCTGGCCTCCCTCCATTGACAAATCACGTCACTGGCCCAGGTAACTCTCCAGAACCAAAGGCCCTGTCTGTTTCTTCAGGAGGTACCTGTCTGTTTCTTTAGGAGCAGTGCTGTATTACATCAATGAAACAGGCCTCGTAGAAGAAAATGTCAGCACTCTCTATCGCCTCCAAGAGGACCTCCACAAGAAGCAGAATGCATCAATCTGGCCTCTTAACTGGTGGCAATCCCCCATGCTAACCTGGCTAACCCCTATTATCACTCCCATCATCATAGTTTGTCTTCTGTTAATGCTATCCCCTTTTTCCCTCAGGTTTTTATAGGCCTGCATGAGAGAAATTTCCAGGGTGGCGGTAAACCGGATGCTAATTCACCCCATGTCCGACTCCCAACTGAGGCACCAGCCAACTGACCCTTCTCCCTCACTCTGCTTCTATTCAACAGGAAGTAGCCAGAAAGAAGCAGCATCCTATATCATCAAAAGAGTCGGAGTGAGAATTTCTCAGCTCAGTTGACCATTTGACTTCTCCCCTGCTCTAGAAGTTTATAAAAAACCATGAGGCAACTACCAATCTTCTGAGAAAGTACAAACTTCATCAGTTGCCTTCAACAATTTTATCAGCAGAGCTACAAGATCCCACAGGTTATTTTCCAGCACAAACCTCTAAAAAGCTAAGACAAAATCATGAAGCTCCATATGAATTCAACAAACATTCTCTTTTTAAGCCTGACAGCTAAAATTTTCAAAGATTTCTTTTTTGTGGTTTTAAAGTTTAGTTTTCTGAAAGGTATAATTTTTGCTGTCAAGTTATACCATGTTCCAGCAAAAAGGTAATACAACAGAAGAGCTATATTTATACATGATACCAAACACATATGACAGACAACAAAATGTTGTCCTGATTCACTTCTAAAATACTCTATTGCTATAATTATTGACCATACAATGGTGGTTTATAATCATTACAAGAAATCCCAGAAAGGTAACATTAAGCATGACAACCCCAAACTTGATGCTCTATTTTTATGTAGTTTAATACCTAAGCATGCTGTTAAAGTGCCAGTTCCCCTTCAATATAGAACATCATCTTAGAGAATTTCAGGTCATGCCCAGCATGACAACTTAAGACAGGGTATTAGAATAAAGAATCAACTACTTCTTAAAAATAAACTTAGAGCTACAATTAACAGACAGGATATAAATATTTTGGTATTACAGGACATAGATACTAACTTTATTTAAACACTGTTACGTAAATATAAACTGGCTTTTGAAAAAATGAATATACACTTACATATATTGATGTATGAGAAAAAGATGAGGAGATACCTCAAAAATCTTGCCAGTATTTACCAAGAAATCAAGATTTTCAATGAGTAATTCCTTAGATGAATAATTTAAAACAGCAACACTGAATATCAGATTATACCTGTAGGCAGATCTTTACTCTTAGAACCACTATTTAAGATAATGACTGAGAGAAGAGAAAATGTCTCATTTATTATACATTCCCTAGAAGTAAATCCTTTAAAACTAAATGCCAAAGTTCTCACTGATAAGTCTGGTCCTGAACACTTAATGAACAAGAATGTGGTAAAACCTCTAGTTAGAATCTGATTCCATTAATGCTCCAATTTAATGAATTCCTGAGCTATCATTTTACTTCTGTTAATGTGTCTAAGCTTGAAGGGTTTTGCTATGTTCTACACATACAGACATGAAATAGGGACACAAAGAAGGAACTTTTAAGTTTGATATACCTTATTCAAATTTCTAATACTAAAAACAGAGTAACATTGATAGATTAGAGACAACATGCACTTCATTTTTTTCCCCATTTAAAGAGAAGTGGCTTCTACCAGACAAGGCATGATGTATATAATAAGCCATAATGTATGCCAACTTAAAGGAATAACAGGGAGTTTTAAAAAATGCAGTAACTATTAAAAATTATTCCTTAGTTACCCCCAAAGGAGAGGACAATAAATTACTCATCCAAAAAATGCACGATTAAATTTTCAGGCATTTTTCCAGTAAGTTCCACAACTTCAATATCCCTGTATATGTAGTAATATGTACATAAATACCATGCAGAGATGTCGTTAAAACCCCAGCCTCTGGCTAATGAGGAATACACTAAAGTTCTATAAAATTATGAAAATCATAAATGTTCAACCTGTATGAAGCATTATGACATTTTTCAAAATCCATATTGAAAATCAGCCATTTTAGATGAACCTATATAGTAGCAGAGAATGAATTGTAACTTTATACGATCTTTGGATATGGCTCACATATTTAACTCTATTAACTGCCTCTTGAAAAATGAACATGCTAGCAGCAAGAGATGCTGAATTAGTTTTATGGAGCAGCACTGGACTCATTATTCAAATAACTAGCATTACTTTCCTGATATTTTATATTTATCTTTTAATATAAATATTGCTTCATAAAAAATGTCAGTTTGATGAATTTCACGTGATTCATGAGAAGACACACATTATAAAGAAAAAAAGTCCTACATTTCCATGCAACATTTTAAACTTATTTTAGGTATTAATTTAGTAATTATTACTTGGTGGTAATAGAAAGAAACTAATAATGCTCTCATAAAAATGTACTCCTTGTTGGTTCAAGCCAAGTTGAAATTTAATTTCTGCTTTTAAACAGTATGTCATCTGCATACCATGCAAATACAGCCATGTATCCAAGCATGGAAGTAAACATTTCAAAGGAAAGCAGCAAAGGAAAAACATAAAATAAAGTTCCACCTACAGGGATTCCTCTGACTATATTTGGTGAGTCCTGGAGATGACATGGATGTGAGACCTGAATGAGTGAACAGAAGCTCAGTGCTGGTCAAGTGAAGCCTCCAGTTACCAGGCAGCTACCCTCACGTGCATCTTCTGGGATGCAGAACAAAGGAAGTGAGGCTGAAGCCAGAAGCAGCTTCTTCCAAAGAAATTGTAGTAAGCCTGTTAGTTTTTTGCTGATGGCTTAAGCAGACAAACATTGGAATCTACTGCCTCTATAAAAGCAAAATGCAAGCCTCTCAGGGGCTCTAGTGTACAAAGATGTATGCACCGGTCTGGGACCATACCAAATGCAGCTCAAAATGGAGGGGAGGAAAGGCTGAAAATACACTAAATCCATCTGAATTTGTCATCTAGGTACAGAGATGCTTTAGTAACACACCAAGAGAAAGATGAAATCTTGCTGTTTCAAAGTAGTAACATAAAAATTAAAAATATAGTTCATTTCATAACACGCAAGGCATCTAAAATGTTCCCCCACCTCATTTTTAATGTAGCATTAGCCTAAAGGTTCTTTCAAATTCAGCAACACTAATCAGTGGCTTGGAATATGCTATATATATTTAATAAGTATCTTAAATCATCAATTCTGTAGTTACAAATACTTCTCCACAATCTTTTCCTTTTTCAAAACCTGTATGGTCTAAATCCCACTCCTACTGATCCCCTCTGAATCACAGCTCCATCCATCAGCCACTCTCACTGTATCTTCAACCTCTCCCTCTCTACAGCTTTTGCTCCTTTTTCACATACATATACTCAACTTCCTCCCGAAATTAAAAAAAAAATCCTCCCTTCAACCTGTCTCCTCTAACTACCCTTCTTTCAATCTTTTAGCCTTAGCTTTCGAAAGCATTGTTTCTACTTCCTCATTCATTTACATATGTAATAAGCATCAAAGTGCCAAGCACCTGGGTCACAATGGTGAACAAGGCAGTACAGTCCACTCATTCCAATTCCCTGCCATCTGGTTTCCACCCCCAGCCCTCACATACACAAACCCATGCTGCCGAAAGTGTCCTTATTAAGATCATCAGTTCGCTCTCAGGCAATATTTCAGTTTGTCTTCTCCACAACAATATGACATCGCTTCTTGACATGTCCTTGAAATGTTCTCCTTACTGCATTTTCCCCTTTGCCTCTAGGTCTCCACTATGGGCAGCAACCTCTTCTTGTACCTGTCTGGTGAATCATGCTTCCTAGATTTTTATGCATTGTCATCTTTTTTCATTCTGCCCTGTTCTCCGTGGGCAACTTCATCCAACACCAGGCTTCCATTCCCACCTACATGCTGGCTATTCTCAAATCTAGCACAGCTCTTTCTCCTGAGGTTCAATAGCCCATTGGACACTTCCACCTATAATGTCTTATAGCTACTGAAAATTTAACATGCTCAAGATGAAATTCACTCAGTAAGAATGAAATATTAAGGAGTAAATTCAACAAAAGAAGACTCATATATTGAAAACAACAAAACTGCTTAGAAAAACTGAAGATGACTTAAAAAGGGATACATTCTATGTTCATGGATTGAAAGACTCAATATCATTAAGATGACAATTTTTCCCAAATTGATGTATACATGCAACACAACCATCCCTATTAAAGTCTCAGTAGGTTATTTTCTCTGTTAAAATTGCCAAAATGATCCTAAAATTTATGTGAAAAGACAAAGGACCTTAAATAGCCAAACAAATTTTAAAAAGAACTAGGTTGGAGGACTCAGACCTCCCAATTTCAATTTTACTACGAAGCTACAGCAGTCAACTCAGTGTGGCATTGGCAATAAAAAATAAAGTTGAGCGTTCAGAAAAAAACTCTTACATTATGATCACTGGTTTCCTACAAAGGTGCCAAAGCAATTCAATGGGGAATCAAAAAATAGTTCTGAGGCTTGTGAGGGAGACTTGGGCACAGTGCAG